GTGGGTGATATTAGGTCACCTCGCTCTCCTCGCGGTCATGTGCATCGCCGGAGTGGAGGCGCGCGGGGCCGAACAGGTTAGTGGTGTTTGGAAAAAAAAAGTTTATTTGAGTTAAAGTTTTTAATGATTTATTTTATTTTATTTATTTTTATTTTTATTGATTTATTTTTTAATGGTAGAATTTAGGGTATTTCTGAGTTATTTTTTGTTATTTTTAATTGGAGCATTTTTTTTTTCATATATTATTTGGTATAGCTTTATATTAATATTGTCTTTTTATTGAAAGAAATATTCATATCTCATTTGATGTTTTTTTTATCGAATATATTCATATAACTTAACGATTTGCAAAACTTCACTTTGGTTTTAAGTCTTTTTATTTTTGGGTTGTAAAAGAAACTAGTTACTGATTAAGAAAGATATTTTGACAGATTTCATGGAAACTCAAACGGTAATAACTGTTATTGTTTTTTTTTACTTTTATTTATTTTTTTATCTCTACTTTTAATCATATTATTTTTAAAGAATTTTATGGATTGCATCAAAAAACACATTGATAAATTCGATCATGCCTTCGCGCCATCGTCACTGTAATCATTAATATCATTATCATTGTTATCATTATATTATCATTATTATTATTAATATTATTATTATTATTATGAATATCATCATCATTATTATTATCATTATCATTATCAACACCATCATCATCATAATAATCATTATCATCATTATCATTATTGATATTATTACTATCATTACCATATTACCATATTACTATCATTATCGTTATTGTTATTGTTATTATCATACTCATTATCATTAGTATTTTGTTATTGTTAATCATTATTACTATTGTTATTATTATTATCATCATTATTATTATTGTTATTATTATTATTATTATTTTTATTATTATTATTATTATTATTATCATCATTATTATTATTATCATTATTATTATTATCATTATTATTATCATCATCATCATCATCATTATTATCATTATTATTATTATCATTATAATTTTAATACTATTATTAACATTATCATTACTATTATCATCATCATCATCACTATTGTTATTAACATTATTATTATTGAAGATTATTATCATTATCATTGTCATTATCGTTATTATTGTTATCAGAACTACTATCATAATTTCCCTGTACTTTGAAGTGATTAATTCTCGTAAGAAATTGTACATTATATTTTTTGCTTGTATTTTCTACGTTATGATAATTGGTGATAATTATTGTTATTTTTAAAACAATGGAAATGCTGATAAAAATGAAATTGATGTTGATTATGATGGTTATTGTAAAAACCATGGTATTCATGGTTCTATTAACAGATTGTGATAATAATAACAATTATAGTTCTAGTAATGATAAAAGTAGTAAGTATAATGATGATATTGATATTAATGATGATGGTAATGATTATGACAATGAGGTTAATAGTAATGTTGATGATAAAAATTATAACAATAAATATGTTGATAATGATAGTGATGATAATATCAACATCAATCATAATGGTAATAATAGTAACAGTAGTAGTAATGATGATAATGATGATGATAATAACAATAAAGATAACAACCTCGATAACAACCATAGTGCCAATAATATTATTGTCATTGATTTTATGGTCACTTGATAGAGGTAGTTATCATTATTGTTGTTAGTGTTGTGATTATTATTATAATCATTATCGTCTTCACCACCATCGGTATTATAATCACCACCACCACCCTTATTACCACCATCATCATCATCCCCACCACCATCACCATTATCATCATCATCATCACCATTCTCATAACCATCACCACCATCACCACCACCACCACCCTCACACCATCAACACCATCACCACTACCCTCATGACCATCACTATCTCCATCACCATCATCACCATCGCCATCCTCATCCCCCCCCCCACCACCATCACCACCATCCTCACCACCACCATCACCATCCTCACCACCATCACCATTATCCCCAAATCCCTTCCTAATTTACTCCTCTCTTTCCAGAAGCTCGGGGAAGCCTTGGGAGCGGAAGGAAGCCACGAGGAAGCCAAGGACGAGCCTCTCCTGACGTCTCCTGAGGAACAGGTCCTCCTCCAGGCAGGTCCTCCTCACCCTCCCCCGAAGGAAGTCGAGAGGGAGGGAAAGATGGAGGAGAAGGAAAGAAGGAAGGAGGAGAGGGAGGAAAAGAAGGAGAAGGAGGAGAAGGAGGCAGAAGAAGGCGAAGAAGAAGACGCAGAAGAAGAAGAAGGAGGAGGAGGAGGAGGAGGCATCGTCTTGGTGGCCCTCGGAGGCGGCGAGGACGAGGTGGTCATGGCACAGATGGCGGCGCTGCTCCACCTCAACGGGCATCGCGTCAGTGCCATCGTCTACGGACCGGGGCCGCGCGAGGAGAGGTTTCCTGCCGGGGTCAAGGTGAGGAATGGAAGGGGGGGAGGGGGTGTAGGGAGGGAGGGAAGG